ATGGTTTTCAGTCATAAAGACCGGCGGCCATGTTGGAGGAATAAACAATAACTGCACGCAATAAACATAACTGCACGCAGTGCGAATGTCATCTATACATCCATGATAAGACCAATACTTGAATACTGCGATACAGTGTGGGGATGTTGTGGTCAAATCAATAATAATGCCTTAGAAGCCCTACAGAGACGTGTAGGACGTATTGTACACAGAGCGTCAAATGGCGAGAAGGACACTTATGAACTGAAGTGGCCATCATTGGAATACAGACGTTCTAAAGACACTTTTAATTTAGTTAAAAGATGTATTAAAGGACACTGCCCTCAGTTTTTTAAGAATTATTTTATTTTTAACAATAAGGTTCACTCTCGTAATACTCGCCAAAAGAATTTGATTAATCTACCTGCAGTAAGAACAGAAGTTGCAAAACGTTCTTTTTATTATCAAGGCTCCATGATTTATAATAAATTCTCTTCAAAGTTATTATTTTTATATATTTTTATACTATGGATTCAAATATAGATTTTATTGTAGTTTTAAATCGATATTATAAATATTTAATTATTGTCTTTTATCAATTTATATTTTGTAATTTCTACATAATCGTTTTATTTATATTCGTGCGTATACGTATGTGATTATTATTTTAGTTTATACTCAGGGCTCCCATTGATAGCAGGCAGCCCTTGGGCTTCTGACGGGACTAACCTGAGTTATAATGTTATTAATTTTAAATAAAGGCATCTATCTATCTATCTAATAGACACTAATGAGAATCCTTGGTTGAAGTTCCTCCAAAATGACCGCTGTGACGCAAACTGAAAACCAGCAATACCGTGATTTTGATATGATTTTTGCCATGATGAACTATATTCTTTGCGCTCATTTGAATTTGCAAAGCTTTTTACAGAAAAGCACTTTACAGGATTGGATTATGTCTAGTTCAGTTCTGGTTTAAACTTAGCAAAAGATTCATATCCAACATACAATCATATATGTAACATGTCAAAACAAGTAAATCGTCA